AAGGGGGGGGGGGGGGGGGTTTGGGTTTAACTCCCAGACGAAAAAAGAAAATGATGGGGTTTTGAATTTAAGAGTAAATTATAGTTGTAATAGTTTAACAAAACTAATTGATGAATTAATCCTCATAGTATTGGAAACTATATATTTAGTCCCTATGTTGCTCAATCTGTATATAGCTTAGTCCCTATATCGATTCCATGTTCTTTTTCAAGTTACTTTTTTTTTTTTGAGAAATAGAGCACAGGAAACAGAAGAAGATAAATAAGATGGGTAATTTGACTAGGAAAAGGGTGTTTTTTAAACTAAAAACACCTAAGTTAAAGATAGTCAATGCTGGCCTCCTCAGTAATATATATTTAGTTATTTTTTTAATATATATAGGGAGTAATTGATTAGTTTTACAAAACTAAAGCATTAATTTATAATTAACTATAAATTTAATTTGTGAATAAATTGTTTATCAGGTGCCATATAAAATATCAAAACATAGTTTAGTTATGGATTCTTATAGTTAATTAAATACTATAGAATAAAGACCAAGTTATTTAGACCGCACAGAAATAAAATCTTGAAATTACAGTCTTCAACTGCCAAAAATATACCGAGTGCAGTATACAAATAATTCAATTTAAATTATAACCAAAGGATGCAGTTGCACACCCTTAATAATGGTTGTAGATACTTAAAAATTAAATTACGCAATTTAAAAAAAAAAGTTTTACAGAGTTGCTTGATTAAAACAATATAATTATTAGCACCCTGAGAAAATTAATACCAATATTATGATAATACTCAGACTTGTATTTCAAGTCAACGCCAATTTAGAGTCTGGCTCGACGAATCATTAGGATGTTCCATTGACTCGGAGCTAGCTTGATTCGGATCAATGAAAAAACTCAATCTTTTTTAAATCAAAATAACAGCAATTTCAAAGGTTTTTCTAAAAAGATTTTCAAAGCTTGGGTTAACTCTAGCACTTCAACCCATCAACCTCGAATTGTCTTAGAATTACGATTACAAGATTTGTTACAAACGTTTTTCCTGAGCACCTAGCTTTAGCTAATTAATGACTCAAATCAAAATTATCCCTTTCACTCCGTTGAATTAATAATTAGTACAAATTGTGATCACTCACCATGTTGCCTAAAGTAACCGAAGATGCTTAAGCTATCTTCACTTTATTTAATGCCTACTTTAATGGGCCTCAGAGAGGAATCCTGAGTTATCAAATGTAAAGTTTGGATCAAATTCAACATTCCCAAATGGGAAATCTGATCCAACAGTAGGAGAGGTAGTAGTTGAAGTAGCAGCAGAGATGATATCAGAGAGCTCAGACTCGGAACTTTGAAAATTCTGGTTCCCTCCAAAGCTATGTAGTAGTTGAAGTAGCAGCAGAGATGATATCAGAGAGCTCAGACTCAGAACTTTGAAAATTCTGGTTCCCTCCAAAGCCATGTTGCATCGAGTTCGGAGACACGGAGTAATAGTTTGTGGCAGAACCTGAAGGGGATATAAGTGAAAAAGGCGCCATGAAACTTTTTTCCACCACAGAAGGAGAAAACATAGAATTATTTTTAGGCCTGACATTGGATGTTGAAGGGAGCTGGAATGAATTATCTGGACATGTTTGTTGATCCTAAGAGTCTAAGTCTTCAACTGTGACTTGAAGAGTAGCTCTTGTGAACGTGGATTATTTTCTTTGTGGGGTTGAAATTCTACGTATTACATTTTCTTGATTTTCTCGGGGTCGTGAAAGGGGAAGCTGCAAATGAGAGGCATGAGTGCAAGTGTGCCTTTCGCGGCTGGATCTTTATGGGATCTTTGCACTTGCTTTGTGGCTAAAAAGCCACGGACATTCTGACGAGTGCATCTATAATATCCTCTGCAAGCACAAATAATCTTTTTGTTATGAGAAAATACAAGGCGTTTGAGTGTTGCGAGCAATTAGAAACGAAAGAAAGAAGCCTAGGGGGGCACGGTTAGGAATTTCTAATTAACAAAGGGTTCCCGTCAACTATTTCGAAGTAGAAAGATGAAAAACTACCTTGGAGCTTTATTACAAGTCCTACACGCACGAAGGGAGGGGAGCTATACTGTTAGGTGGTCATCATAGAAGGTCCTCTCTACAAAGTAAGGGCTTGACC